ATAAGAACTGCGTCCACTTATCGCTGGACGAGATGGAGAGCAACGGGTCGGTTATCTGTGGAGAAAGAACTAATTACTCCCCCGGAGTGGCACTTTTCCCTCGGAGTCCCTATCGGTTTAATGCCCGCGTTAATTACCTGGCGCGGAGATTTTTCACTGCTTACGTTTTATTTTTATGGCATTTCCCGGAAAGAGTCGCGTGAAAAGTTCTTCTCACTCGATCGAAACGTTGATGGCTTCACTGCGTGTAACCTTTGACCTTTTTTTTAATGTCCTGACTTCTCACAGCACTGGAATCGCAGCGGCTCATGTCCTGGCCAAAGGCTTGGGAAAACCACTGGGGATTAAGGGTTGGAATTATGAAAGTTTATCCCGATGGGGGAATTATGATGCTAGATGACATTTGATAGTGATTTATGTATCTTTAATGTCTGCGGTGAGGACTGGAAAAATCGTACCAAAAATCTCTGAAGTGGAGTATAGTTGTGAGAGCAGGAGTAGAGGAGGATGCAGGAAGATAGTCAAGGACAATATGTTACAGGTCACTTTATAAAAAAAATTATTATATAGAGTTAGTATTATAGAGTTTTATTCTTACTTTTAATAACTTTTAATAATACTTTAACGTGAAAACAATGCTTGGGTAGGAAGTAATTGCATTTGTTTTAAATTTTAACTTAAATTGTATACCTTTATTATGTTCCTATTTCATTTTGCAGCCTCTTGAACCCTTTAATTTTGTTTTACTCGCTTTATTCCCTCTAAAATTAATCGAATTATATCAGGTTACAGTTCATTGTTGTAAGGTGGTGTTGCCAATTGGAATTTAAAGGGGTTTTCCCCCGTTTTTTACGCTCTGATTTCTCACACTGTCCCATCCATCCATCTATTCATTGATTGCTCATTTATAAGGACTCCCCTTAGGGATTTGCTCTACTGTCAAGGGAAGTGCAGGAAAGTCGCTCGGATGGGCATATTGTGGCAGTCAGTGAGGCAATTTCCCATACGCACACGCCCGTCACAACGGCCACACCCTCCATCCGCCAGAACACCCAGTGATGTCCTCTCCGTACTGCAGTTTCCACCACTCATCCGGGATCCGGGGCTGAAATGCAGCCTCCAAGGCGGCAGCCAAGGCTAACTGAGGGCTAAGCGGATATTCATTACACGAACCGCACGCTGACACGCGCCGCCGCTTTGGCCGCTTTAGCACCCTCTTGTCCTGCTGCTGGGAATACGGAAAAACTGGTGCTTGGACGAGCTTACACTTTACATATGTCACGGATATCCCCGTGGGAGGGTTTCGCGCCGTTTGACTTTTGAGCGGAGTCAGGCCACTGATCCTGTTTGCTGTAAATAATGCGATTAACGGCATCACGCAGCCAGCTTCTGATCCTGATTCAAGGATTTCTCATTGGGGGGTGGGGCGGCTGTTAATGAGCCGGCGAAGGAACTGCGCTCCAGCGACAGTTTCCCGGATTAGTGCTACAAATTCGCGCCTAAGCATTGTGTGAAATATGTATGAATTCGTACACCGTTGGAAATGTTAATCTCGAAGGACGGCTTAAGTCCATTGATTTATGATATTTTTATTTTTGGCATTAACATTACATACATTATGTATATTTTGTGTATATTATAATTAAATGTTCCTTGACTTATTTAAAAAATTACCTTTCTCTTACTGATATATCCCTAAATACCTGTACAAATGAAGCTTCCTATTTTTTCGCCCAGTGTATAATCCCATTCTGTACCTCGGAAAAAATGAAAAATTATTGCTTTGGTTTCAGTTTGTACTGGGTTTGGGTTTGTCATTGTCTATCGCCATTAAAGTGTCTTTAGTGCTCCACGACGTATGCCATTCACTGGCTTGGAAGTAATTTTTATTAACTCTGCCAAAAGTGCACAAAATAATCGCATTAATGCCGCCACCTCTCCCTTCCCCCCACCCCCATGTCGGCCCACTCCCCCTAGTTAGCCACGTGTGAGCTGCCGACTGAATGACTAACTGAATGACTGACTGACGGACGGACGGACTGAATGACAGACTGAGTGTCAGGTCGGTGGTGTCATTGTCGTGCCAGGCTGAGCAGCTGAAAAGTCAGAAAAGGTTGGGAAATGCCTGCGGGCCCAGCGTCTCATCTGGAGATTTTCCTTGCTCTTTTGTCTTTGGGCGTGTCTCCTCGGAAAATCTCATTTTCCAGCCAGGCACAGTCGAGAGCCAAGTGTGCGAAAATTTGATAAACGCCGACCCCCGAAAGGCGCTTGATTTATGGATCGAAGGGCAGAACCAACCCAGTCCGCCGCTCGCAGCTCGCAACTCGCAACTGGCAATTCGCAATCCATAACCCATAACCTGGCTCTAAACCGAAATCTAGAACGCAGAGCAGGGGATCGAGGGGGAGGCAGAGGAGGTGTGGTTTCTGCCGCTCTTTTTGCCAGCATAAAGTGCTAAAAAACGCTCAATAAAACCACACATAAAAATTGACTAAATACAAAACATGACAGACGGCGTGCGAGTATTAATAATAATGCGTTCGTTCGTTCGTTCGTTCGGCCGTCGGCCTTCTCCTTTTTTCCCCAGTTTTATTCCATTTTTCCCAACTGCTGTGCCGTTGTTTATAAAGTGCAAAAAACGCTGTACTCTTTTTCACATTCGCATTCGATAAAAATCGCATGATCATAAATTTACACTTTGCACAGCCTCCGCGGCAACGCCCACCCCGAAAAAATAAGGAGGGGGAGAGGAAGGGAGATTCCGAATGCACATCGATTGGGGGTGGGAACCGAACGGGGTTTGGGGGTTATGCGGGGTTAGGGGACATGGGCGGCCGGTCGAGAAGGGGGCGGAGATACACACGCAATGCCAGTGCAAATCTGCGGCCCCTGGGACGCGTGAACGATTGCTAAATTGTTGCGGTCAGAGTTTCGGGCCAGAATTGGTTTACGTTTTGTTTTGGTCCTGGGTTTGGTTGGGCCCATGTCCATTCCATATATTGCCTTCTCAGGGATCCATGCTTTATGCTTTCTGCCAATTGCAATCAGAGAATTACCGACAATCGGCAAATGGTAACGAACAGTTTTTACTGTAAGGAGACAAAGGCTTGAATTTGGTTAGATTTTTAAATATATATTAAAATAGCATTTTAAATTATTATATTTACTTTGCAGGTTAGCAGTTGATAACTAATCATATTTTTTTCTAAATCCACCCTATGTTATCAGTTGTAAAACAGCCCACAGGGACTTATTTGCTGGTTTATTAATTTGACAAAACATAAAATTTATTGTTATTTTTAACCCCTTATTCAGTCAAAATCCCAATATACCCTCGCTCACATCCCCCATTCGGAAACCAGAGAATTGAGGGATTAAAATGCATTTCGATTGCCCTTCGATTTTTATTTATTTCTTATTTTTACAAATCGTTGAAATATTTTTCACAGAAAAGCCGCGTGCGCTTTACATTTCAAATGCGAAATTTTTGGGCGGTTGCGGGCGTCGATTGCCACGCCCACACAGCGCGCGGTGTGAAGTTATTTAATTGCCAAGCTGATGCTGTTATGGCCCTCTGCTCTCCTCCTCCGTCCAGTTTAAGCATCCTTTCTCCTCCTCCCGCATCGAATGCGTTATCGCCTTGGCCAAAAATCATCTGCTGACGCATAATTAATGAGCCGGCTGCCCATCATTTGCATATTTCTAATTTAACCAAAACGATTTGAACACAACAACAACAACATGCCGAGCCATCGAAGTTGCAATAGCAATAGCAACGGCGACAACAACCAGCAAGGAACTGCCATTGTGTGATGCATGTGCATGTCGCTGCAACATTATAAATAAATCAAAATACAATTTCTCAGAAATTGCGATGCCCTATCAAAATGCAGCGCGGAGAGGCCAGGCCAAGAGAGACCCCCAAACATAAACACGGGCGATATATCCACCCAAAACATGTTGATAGAGCAACTCCGAGGAGCGGGGGCCACTCGGTCCTATATTACTTATATACATACGATAGGTACGAGCAGTTATATGTAGACATGTGGGCTTGTTCGAGGTCTACGCAAATGCAAACGCCACAAATCCACGGCCGCGAAGTAAACATGCAAGAAGTGCCAGCCAACGAAGGCGGAAAAGTCCACGTCCAACCAGCTCCACCGCCACTTTGGGCCCCCCCGCTCTCCTTTTACCAGGTGGAGTCTTAACTAGGCTCAAGCCCAACGGCAGCCAAGTGGAGGCCACATGTCCTCCTGTGCATGCCGTGCAATTATTTTGAATTAAATTCGTATTTTGTTCGAATCTTGTAAATGCATCTTGTTCGGTTGGAGAAGAGGGTTGCTCTTTTCTACACAGAGAGGAAAGAGTATTATAACAATTAGTAATAAAATATTTGTATATATATTAATTATAATATTTTTAATCAACTTAAGACCTGGCTTGAATGAACACATAAGATTACCACTCATATTAGTGAAGTATTATAAAATATAAATATTATTAAAATGTATGCTTTGTATGCTTTTCTCTGCTGTTTTTTTTTTTGTACTGATTTTCCCTGACCTGGTCCATGCAACTGAAAGATGTAGCTTATGTATTTTCTTTGCAAGATTTCATATGCAAAGTAAGTGTTCAGAGGCAGGTGCGACGAGGCTTATATCCTGGAATATCTTATATGAGGTTATATTTACCAATAAGCTTTAATAATAATAATAGTAGGTTACGTCCTTAATGAACTTATCTTCCACAGAATCTTAATACTTATTGATTATAACAGTGTGTCATGTAAGAAAAGGTGTCTAATAAATATATTATTTATTGATAAGCCTGATGTGAATGATTATTAGATTGCCAGATCTATCGAAATCGTATTCAAAGAACCCAAATTAATTTCCTAAATAATCAGTAATGAAATTTAAAGATTTAATTAATGAAATTTAATGCCAAAAAATGTAAAATTTTATATACACAGCTAAGATATAAACTATATTCTGCTATAAGTTCAATTATTTGTATTTACAACCTTTATTTATCTAATTTAATATTACAGGGTAGCATTTGATATTGACAAACAAGTTAGTGAACAGCACGCTTGGAAAAGAGAAAACACTAGCGCTAAATTGACATCAAAGTGACGTTTATTTGGTTTGCGATTCCACTTGGCCAGACTTCCCATCTAGTCGCTGGAACTGGGCTGTTTTGGAAAACGGAGAAAGGATAAGCGAATTAGCCAAGGTGATGGATGACCAGGCTCATACTTCAGAGTCCTGCTCGTTGAGGCGGCGGGCACGGCTCCTAGTTGTGGTGGTGGCTCCTCCCGGGACATTCGACCTTCTCCAGCGGCGGAATCTCCGCAAGCAGCCCTCCTCCTCCAGGATGTTGTAGAGATTCATCAGGAGAATGGCCAAAACCACCAGCAGGGTGACAAAGGCAAGAATATCCCTCAGCGTCCAATAGGGGTGTATTCCCGAGACTCCAACTGGATCCAGTTTCTGGGCCTCTGCTTGGCCTTCCGTGTCCACTAGACTGCTGCTCGTCTGAGGGGTGTTTCCATGCACGTGAACCCCTCGATCGGTGAAGTAAGTGTACATCCTGCGGTACAGACCAGGCCCCCAGGAGTTGTCATGCAGCCCCAGCCACTGGAGACCTTCGTGCTGATGATGGAAGACCTGATAGTCGAAGGAACTCAGGCGGTTTCCCTCCAGAAACAGACTCTCCAGATTCGGCAGACCCGTCAATCTCTCTACCTCCAAGGTCAGTATGAGGTTGTGGGACAGGTCCAAGATCTTGAGATGCGACGAGAGAATGGGTGAGTCCGGAGGCAAGCGCACCACTTGGTTGTTGGCCAAGTTGAGGTACTTCAGGCTGGGCAAGAGGAAAAGCTCCTGGAAATGCGGACCTTCGCTCGACCCACTGCTATGCATGGGCAGTGACTCTATCCTGTTCCTGGACAGATCCAATCTCTCCAGGTTCCACATGCCTCGGACCAAGTCGGGGATATCATTCTCATCCAGCAGATTACCTCGGAGATCCATTTCTAGGACCAAGCTCTTGTTGCCCAGTTGAATGTTACTCAGCTCATTATTTGCGGCGTGCAACCTTATCAAACTTCCACTTATGATCAATTCGCTTAGTTGACTGTTCTCCACCATCAGAGTCTGGATGCTGCTTAAAGTCAGGGTCTGAAATTTCAACTCTCCAGCGTGGCTTATATCAAGCAGCTGGAGATTCGGAAGAGAGCCCACAGTTCCTGAATGGAGGGTCCCCAAGTTGTTGCCATTCAACAGCAGGGTCTGTAGTTGGGTATTCTTTGCGAAGATCTCCTCTCGCAAATCCGTAAGCTGGTTGCCACTCAAGTCCAGATGCCGAAGCTCAGCCAGAGCATCAAAGGTCTTAGCCGGAATCTCCTGGAATCCATTGCCCTGCAGTCCCAAAAATTGGAGCTTGGCTAAGCCCATGAATGCTGCGCTGTGCACTGTGTGGATGGTGTTGTAACCCAATTCGAGAATTAACAGGCGAGGCACCGTAGTGAACAGCTCATCCCTGAGCACTCCCAGACTCGAGCGTTGCATTTGAAGCGACGTAAGATTTGCCACTGGCCTCAGGCTCTCTTTGCTGATATGATAGCTGGCGCAGTCCCTGATTACCAGCGTCCGGAGACTGGGCGTCAAGTTGAGCACCAGCCATGCCACCGATTGGCGACTGCAGTTCGTTAAGTGTAGCTCCAGCACCTGAAGAGCTGGAGTGCTTGAATAGGCCACCAGCTGATTATTCACATGGCAGAAGACATCCGGACAAGTGGCACTGAGATTCAACCGTCCTGTGGCATCGTAAACAGAGGCGCCACCTCCCAGCTGGAAGCCGCAAAATCCCAGCAAAAGATACACATGCCAGTGCATATTATTATTAATTTTTGAATAAATAATGATTCACTCTGCTTCCACTTTGTCCAAACTCTGAATATGCACTAGAGTCGCGGCTGAGACACTAGCATCGAGGGCTTATCTCGGCGGGTGTATGGATCCGCTGGGAGAGGTTGCCACTGATAAGAGATGATGTAAAGCCCCCGGGAAGCTTTGCGGATCACAACAAAGTAGAGCTTTTTCCTCATGTTGCCAGAGATAGCACGAGATCGGTTCGTCAACATGAGGCGAGCAACAAGCTGAACTTGAGTCAGTAGAGTTGGTTGGTAGAGTCCCCAACAATTCGTAAGAGTTTCAAACAGTTCCCAAGACTTTTCTAAAATTATATGATGATATGCTTCTTAAATCATTATTACTTTTTATTTATTGTAAACATTTTATAAAAAAGATTGCGAGGAAGTACATACGTATATTAAAGTTAAATTAAAAGGTTTATGTTTCCGACTCTGGTCGGAAGAGGAACCTGACCCTGCTCTCGGAGTTGTCCTCTGTTCTCTGCCCCCACTTGCATCCGAAACAGCAGTTGGCTCCTCCTCTTTTATAGAGATACATCCTCGCATATGCCAGGACTCCAAGAAGGAAAATTACGATGAGGATATCGTACACGCTCCACTCGTGCTGTTTGGCCTCGGATTTTCTTGGAAAGTCTTTCTCTATCAAGTTCACATCCTTGAAATGGAAGTATTCAATCATCTCATTGTAAAACTCGGAACTAAATTTATTTCCGAAGAGAGCTACTGTCTTGAGGTTATTGTGCTTTTCGTATAAGGAACGATAGTTAAAAGTGGTCAGATTATTATTCTCCAAGAACAGGCTACGAAGATCGTGGGCCCCATCAAGGGCTTCCGGTGAAAAGCTTTCCAGTTTATTATGTGATAGGTCCAGGACTGCAAGCCGAGGTCCAAAAAACGAGGACTCCAGCTGCAGACTAACCAATTGATTGCTGGACAGATTGAGGAACCTGAGGCTGGGCAGCAGGCACAAGTCTCGCGAGACATTGTTATAAGACAGCGGAAGAGATTCGATCGAATTTTGCGACAGATCTAGCCTCTGAAGGCTCCTACTGTTGCAGAAAACTTTGCTAATATTTCTCCACACCAAGAGAGTTCCCCGCAGGTCCAGTTCTATCAGCGAAATGGGATCACCCAGGCTCAGATGGCTTAACTTGCTGTTGGCCGCTTGCAGCCTTAGAAGGCTTTTGTTGGCTGTAACCTGCAAACTCTCCACTCCACTCTCCTCCAGGATAAGGGTGTCCACGTGGGAGTGCAACACCAGCTCCTTCAGCTGTCGGCAGCGACTGAGATCGAGGAGCTGAAAAAGGCTTTGAGCTCCTGGGGTCGGAAAGACTAACTGGGTCAGGGGATTTCCTCTGAGAAGTAGCGTTTGCAAGTTTAGATTCCGGGCAAAAACGTCTCTCGTTATATTCGAGATTTTATTGTCGCTCAGGTCCAGGCTTCTGAGATTCTCGAGGGGATGAAAGACATCCTCCGGCAAAGACTTGATCAAGTTTCCCTGTAGCCCCAGCATCTCCAGACGTGTCAGTTCCCGGAAGGTTCCATTGGCCAACCTTTCGATGGAGTTCCCCCCCAATTCTAGGATTTCCAGCCGGTACATGACAGAGAACTGGTTTTCGTGTAGTTCGGAGATATTACTGCGCCGCAAGTGCAACATGTTGAGCTTGTATGTCAGCTGGATGTCCTCCTTGGCAAAGGGATCACCAAGGCAGTTGCTTAATGACAGGATGCGAAGATTTGGTGTACACCGAAGCACCTCCAGCTCCCGGCAGTAGCCCAGATGAAGTTCCATAATGTTGGGAGCTTGGTTTGCGGCGTATTCTGTTTTCATTTCCGGAAGACTGCAGTAAGATTCCGGGCAGACATCCTGGAAATAATTAGCTTCCAAGGCGGAGACTGCGCCCAGCAGAAGACTGAGCAGCAGTCGAACAATAAACATATTTCTGGGTACTTGAGTGATTCATTCGCTTTATCAGCAGTTCTTTGAGAATACACTCGAAATAATCAGATGAACCCACAATAAACGAAATTGTCTTATTTCAAATTCGGGAGACACCCCATTCTCAGTTAAAGTTAACGCGGGTTATGTTAAATCCGATCAGAGTTACAGCAAGATAGGGAACTAATTGGGCAAAGACGGTTCCAATCAGCTGTTCTCGGCAAGATTATACACATCGATATGTCGATATGTCAGCTTTCTGGAGGGCAGCTATATTCGATAGATGGGCGCGTATTCAAATGGTAAAAGTCGAATATTTATATTGGTATGTATGTATGTTATATATATTTTAAGTTTATTAAGGGTCCACAAAAATTACAATATATTAAAGTTCTATTTTAGTTTGAAGAAATAACCAATCCATTATTTTATTTATTAAGTTTACAAAATGGTATTAATTGTTCTTTGGATATTAAAAGGCACTTTATAATATAAGTCTATGCTTATTAGTGCAGAGGTTTTGGGGTGTCCCGTGCCTGATTGTCCTTCTGAATTACATGGACATGCTTGAGGCTAAAGTATTCAACAATTTCATTGTTAAAACTAGAACCAAACTTGTTGTCATAGAAAGCCAGCTCCTTGAGGTTTCTGTGCCAGTCATAAAAGTAGCGATAGTAAAAGCTGGTCAGATTGTTTCCCTCCAGCCGCAGGCTTTGCAGATTATGCGACTTTGTGGGTTCCATTGATATACTTTCCAGCTTATTGTGGGAGAGATCCAAGATTATTAGGCTGGGCCCAAAGAGCGGCGACTCCGATGGCAGACTGTCGATTTGATTTCTGGAGAGGTTCAGGAACCTGATATTGAGCAGGGGGCATCTTCTGTGGTTGAAATTGCTGCCGGACACGTGTGATGTTTCTATTGAGGTGTTAGACAAATCCAACCATTCAAGGGTCTGTAAGTCGCAAAGGATTTCGCTGAGAAATACGCCATCCAATTGAGCCCCATGCAGGTCTACGTGGGTTAGTTTGCTCTCGGCGGCTCTCAGCCTTTGGATGCTTTTATTGCTGCGCAGTCTTTCCACTCCACAGTTATCCAGGACTAGCGTATTTACCTCAACGGACAACTGCAGATTCTTCAGCTGGGTACAGTCGCTTAGATCGAGGAAATCAAGTCTAAACTTGGGTAAATCACTCGGAAAGATCAGGTTAGTCAATGGATTCCCATTGAGTCGTAACAAATTCAATTGAACATTCCGCGAAAAGGTGTCCGCTGTAATGGATGTAATCTTATTATTACTTAGGTCAAGACTTTCCAGTTTCATAAGAGGATAGAAAACACTCTTTGAAAGAAACTTAATTGAATTGTCCGACAATTCTAGAGTCACAAGTTCTTGGAGTTGCGCAAAGGTTCCATTGACCATTCCTTCGATGGCGTTTCCGTTCAAACAGAGAGCCTCTAAGGCGGGCATCTTGGCGAACTGGTCATGATGAAGCTCCGAAAGACGGCTGTCCCGAATCCTCAGCAGCTTGAGTTGTGACATTGTGTTCAGAGCATCGAAGTTGAAGTCCCTGCTGCAGTTGATCAAATTCAAGTACTCGAGATTGGGCGTGAGTTCGAGCACCCTGAAGTCCGAACAGAATCCCAAACTCAAGGTGTCGATTCTCGGAGCTGTTTTGGCTGAGAATTGCAAGCGAGTATCCAAGTCCGAGAGCCTACAGGTGTTTCCTGAACAGAGTTCATCGAGATCAGTGCTCCCAACGATAGAGGCAATAGTAAAGATCAGTAGGAAACACCAAATCATGTTCTCTGTTTGAATCGTAACAATATACTGATGTGTAATCTCTGCGAATGAATGAATAAAACTAAGCATGTCTCAAAATTGATTAATTGAAATTGTGGCGAAATAGTAAACTAACCGAACAGAACCAAAACAGACAGCTGCTCTGAGTGAGATTAGACCCACAGACACAATCCACTCCTCACCTCTTGCTTAGAAACTATACTTTTAATTCAGAAAAATGTAAATAATACGCACTCTGAACGTCGCCTGATGATCAGACGTCTAAAAATTATAACGAAAATTGTAATCTGAGGTTCAAGTTCAAAACAAGCGTTCAACAATTTTAGTCCCAAATTTGTATGTATTTTATTTTAGCCTAGATTTTGTACAATCTGCTTCTAAGCAACAATTATTTTATCTGTAATTATGGATTCCATGATTGATTCATATCTCCGAGTCTTCAATACTGACAAGTCTTGCTTCCATGTTGGACCTTTGCCTTGTCCCGAAAAACCAAAAGAGCGAAATAGGGCATTTCTGTCCGCGGGCATGTCGAAAAAACAGGACAAGGACAACATTAAGAACGAGGGACGTTAACAGACCCACCCAGATCATTACATCTCCTGAGCTCCATTTTTGAATATTAGCGCATTGCTGACGGTTAGGATAACGGTGTCCCGTTTTCGGTGGTGATGGCTCCGAATTATCTATAAAGTCCTCGGATATGTTGTGACCAGAAGCTGATCTTTGAATCTTCTCTATAACTCGGACCCCAGCCTCCGTGAAGTATTTGGTGATGGCCTGGTAGCTCTCCGTGGTAAATACATTATCGAAGAGCGACAACTCCTTGAGCCGCGGTTGTTGCTGGTAGAAGTGATCGTATTGAAATTGCCGGATGAGATTCCCCTCGATGTGCAGGCCCTTTAGCTCCTTGATCAAGCTGAAAATATGCGGCTCCAGACTATATATTAGGTTGTACGAGAGGTCCAAGTAGGTGAGGCTAGGGGACAGCAGCGGTGAGTCACTGTGCAGGTGCTCCAGGAGATTATTTGACAGGTTCAGGAACCTCAGATTGGGCAGAAGGAAAAACTCACTTGTATTGTCGCCACTGGGCACGGGCAAGCTGTCGATAAAGTTTTTGGAGAGATCTAAGTAGTCAAGCCTCCACATCCCCATGACCATGCTGGGGATGTCATCGGCCTCCAGCTTGTTTTCATGAAGCTCTAGCTTGACGATGGACTTCTTGTCGCTCATGTGGAGATGGGTTAGTTTGTTATTAGCCGCCTGAAGCTTGGCCACACTGCCCTCGATGGAAAGGCTCTGCATGGCATTGTTTTCCAGCATGAGTATATAGGCATCGTTGAGATGCAGCTCCTCCAAGAGCCCGCAGTTGCTCAGGTCTAATAGAATAAGCCGCCTCGGTGACCGGAGAGTCGAAGGGTATACTTTGGTCAGCGGGTTTCCATGGAGCAGTAGTATCTGGAGCCGAGGGCTTCCGGCAAAGATTCCTTCCTGAAGGGTCTCGATCTGATTGTTTCCAAGGTCGAGGTGCAGCAGCTTTCGAAGCTGGAGGAATATTGCATCAGGCAGGGCGCTAATGTTATTGTCCTGCAGTCCAAGCAGCCACAGCTTAAACAGTCCCCTGAAGGTGGTGGCAGGAATACGGCTTATGGCGTTGCCTCCCAGCTCGAGAACTTTCAGGTCAGGCAGCTTAGCAAACAGCCCGTCACTCAGCTCCGGCAGATGGCCACCTCGCAAATGGAGGTAGCCGAGATTAGGCAGCGCACTGAGGTCGTCCGCGTGCAGTTCGCCACTGGAGCAGTTCGCCAAGTCCAGAGTGTGCAGATTGGGGGAGTGCTTCAGTACTGTCAGATTGCTGCAGTCCTCCAGATGGAGCTCCCACTGATGGGTGGCAGCAGGCTTGTCTTCTGTGTAGTTTGAGTCTAGTTCAGTTCCGTCACAGGTGATTCCCTCGCAGGTGGGATCCAAGTCAGTTATTCCCATAACTAAGATAGCTGGAAGGAGCGTCACAATGTAAAGAATTCGATCCATTTATAGTTTTACTGCTTGTTATTCTTAATTGAGTTCTTTGTATCTATCACGGATCAGAGCTATTCGTCGACTAATCCAAGAGCAGCAGAAATAAATCTCATATTCCGACTGCGCTTCGTTGACATTCCCAGAGAGCTTTTACACGCGGGTCTCTTACTTTCCCTCTTAATATCAATTGACGGGAGCAACATCAATTTAACTTGTGGTCAGAGGGAACTAACAGAACAGAGGTCATCATCAAATCAGCTGTTCTGTTCCAGATTATATCCATGGCTCAACTACTTTTATGCCATAGCGCTGAGCTTTTAGATTTCGAATAAAGATTGGCGCCCATTCAAATAATAAATATGAATTCAGATGACTTTGAAAATGAATAATAAATAAAACAGATCATTACTTTGAAGTGCATTAACTAAGACTACATTTATTATTTTTTAAACATAGACATTTATATATATATTTTCAATTATCGGGGTCATTAATGCTGATGAAACTCGCCTTCAATCTCGAGGATCTTCTTGGTCCGTAAGAACATCCGCTGGCACGTTGGAGTCGCAGAAACAGAACAACGTTGGAGGCCAAAGCAAACAACAGGAATATAAAGATCAGGACCTCCCAAAAACTCCAACCATCCGAAGCTTCCTGCTCAAATGTCTCTACAACAGCATTTTGATGTTTCTCTATTACGAGAACACCGGCCTCCGTGAAATATTTAGTGATATTGTAGTAGCTTTCCTTGCTGAACTCATTCTCATAGAGAGCCACCTCTTTCAGGCCCCTTTGTTCATTGTGAAATCGTTTGTATTTGAAGTGTCTGATAAGGTTTCCCTCAATGTGCAGGCTCTGAAGATTGTTAACTACGCCGAAGACATGTGGTTCTATAAAACTAATCCTGTTGTACGAGAGGTCCAGATGGGTGAGACTGGGCGATAGCATGGGCGAATCGCCTCGCAGGTGTTCCAACCGATTGCCCGACAGGTTGACAAACCGGAGATTGGGTAAAATAAAGACCTCGCCAGATTTAGCGCTCTTGAGGGTGGGCAGATCTCCTATGTGATTCATAGAAAGGTCCAGGCGTTGGAGTCTCCACATGCCCACGAGGATTCCGGCTAATATATGGGATTCCAGCTTGTTGCCATGCAGGTCCAGCTCGGTGAGTGGAAGTTTGTTGTCGATTTTAAGAACGGTTATTTGGTTGTTTTCGGCCTGAACTTTGTTTACCTTGCCCAATATGTCGAGTCGGTTAATACCGCTATTGTTTAAGATCAGGAACTCGGTGCTGTGCACTTGGAGCTCATGCAGGGAACTACAGTTGCTCAGGTCCAAAACGTTAAGCTCTGTTAAAGACTCCAGAGTTTTTGGCAATAGCTTTGTGAGCGGATTTCCGTAAATTACTAACGTTCTGAGTCTTGGATTATGAATAAAGATATTTTCCTGGAGAGCAACGAGCTTATTACTGCAAAGGTACAGGTACTTTAGATTAAGAAGTGGCTGGAAAATATTATCCGGCAAACTGCTTAGGCTGTTGTTTTGGAGGGAGAGGAACCACAGGTTGGAGAGCCCCTCGAAAGCGTTAGCAGAGACCCGTTCTGTGCAAGTTCCGGTTACGACCAGGAGCTCCAAGCGGGGCAACTTGGCAAACTGTTCGTCACTCAGCTCCACTAAATGACCACTGTGCAGCACAAGGTACGTGAGCCAGGCCAGCTCACTGATGTCGGCCATTCTTAGGTCATTACTTGTGCAATTTCCTAATTCCAAGGTGTGTATGTGCGGCGTAAGCTTTAGCTGTGTCAGATTTCGGCAAGAGTCTAGGATGAGGTCTCTTTTAATGGTTAAATTCGTATCTGTGCTATTGCAGTAGTTTTCATCGCAGAAGGGCTCGGATTTGGTGACTCCCAGAACGATTATAGCTGGCAGCAGCAACAAACATAGAATGTAATCCATTTATATTATATATACTGTATTCCGTAAAGATTTTCGTGTGCGATCTTTCACTGAATGAGGTGGCTAACGTTACTGATCCGAATAAGAATATTGCATCCGTAAAATGCTCGCAGAAAGCTTTTACAAAAAAGCCCCATGTGCACTTTCTCTCTTATCATCAATTAAGGGGACAAATTATCACATGAGTCGTAGTAAAAGTAATACAATATAATATATAAAGTGTTTTTAATAAACAAAACAAAGCAAGTGCAGTTAGTAGCTTTACAATAATTATTTTATTATTTTTATTTTAAATTATACAATATAAAAAATAGAATCATATTGCAGAGCCATTCCTGTTGATGAAACTGGTTTATATTTTAGTGGAATACTTTCGCCTCCAAGCCCTTTTACCACGGGAACGTAGATGCTTAATGACAAGGATTGCATTAAGAGTCAGGGCAACCATTAGACTGAATAAGATGAGGATATTCCAAGTACTCAATTTCTTAAAAATTCGTTGGTCAGCGGGCTGCCGATGTACTTCAATGCGCTGCCTTTTCGGATGCAGTCTACCAATGAGCATTTTGGCTTGGAAAGTATCATTATTGGATCTGTTGATCTTTGATGAAGCTTCTTGGTTTTTCTCCAGTACAAGAACACCAGCATTTGCAAAGTATTTGGTGATTTTCTCGTATATTTCGGGGCGGAACTCGTTGCCATAGAGGGCTACTTCCTTGAGGCTTCGTTGCTGATGGTGAAAGAGTTCATACTGGAAGTACAAGAGCTGGTTTCCCTGCATAAGCAGGCTCTGAAGATTGCTGGCCATGCTAAAGGTATGTGGCTCAATGCTGCGTATCTTATTGTCTGACAAGTCCAAGTAAATAAGACTGGGGGACAGGATCGGCGAGTCAGCACGCAGGTGCTTCAGTATATTTTTCGACATGTTGACAAACCTTAGGTTGGGCAGGACAAACACCTCACCCAGCATTTCCTTTGTGAAGATAGGCAACTCCTTCATCCGGTTTTTAGAAATATCCAAGCGTTGAAGTCTCCACATCCCCTGGAGAGCGTCTGAGATGGCGCCCGTTTCCAGGCTATTCTCATGCAGGCACAGCTCTGTGACAGCAGCTTTATCCTTAATGTTGAGGTAATCTAAATAGTTGTCTCTTGCCTGGAGTCTGCTGACCTTGCCGATTCTAAGCTCATGCATTCCACTGTTCTCTAGACGAATTGATTCGGAGCTGGGTAGTTGCAGGTTCCTGAGGTAGTTATTGCTCAGGTCCACAAATATTAGATTTTTAAGTGGTCCCAAAACTTTAGGGGATAGACTTAAAAACGAACCTCCACGAAGGCAAATTACTTGAAGCTTTGGATTGTTAGCGAAGATGCCCTCTGGAAGCCCATTAATATTGTTATCACTTAGGTCAAGGTGGCTGAGCTCCGGAAGAGGAGAGAATAGATTCTCCTGCAATGTGATTAATCTATTGCTGTTCAAACAAAGCATCCACAGTTGGGAAAGTCCTTTAAAGGTGTCTTCGAAAACTACGCGTATTTTGTTTTTCTGAAGGTCGAGGATCTCCAGATGGGGCAACTCGACAAACTGATCGCTGAGAAGTTTCACAAGTCTGCCACCTCGCATCTCCAGAGTTTTCAGATTGGCCACCGCACTAAATTCGCTTATATTAATGCTATACCAGGAGCAATTGGATATCTGCAATGTGAGTAGACTGGGGGTGAGTTCCAGAATTGCAAGATTACTGCAGCCATCCATTTGGAGCGTCTCTACAACGGAGGAAACCATCATCCATTCATCTGAGGAAGTTGCATCTGTTGCCGTACTGTTGCAGTTGTCTCCATTGCAGGAGCCCTCAGATTTTGCCATTCCCGGAATGAAGGCAGTTGCCAGTAGTAATATAAATATAATATTCATTTATATTTTTAAATACGTTTTCCCTAAATTGTTGTCTTCCGTACCTTTTTTGACGAATAAAGTCGCTGCTCTGACTAATGTTGAATGCAGAGAATAATCACAGACATAAAGCTTCATTGCTATATTAAAGAAAGCTTTTTTGTTTGTGCAGTCAATTTACGGCAGAAATGCAAATTGGAAAATCTACGGAGGCAGTAATTTTTTCCAGTCACTAGACAAAGCTAGCACGTGCATTTTGCCCTAAATCATTTTATTTATTACTAATAATAGGCATACATTTTTTTTATAATTTAAATAAGGGTATATAACGATTTTAGATTTATATAATATTATATTTCTCCTGCCTTACATTTCATTACAGAAGATTGCTATTGTCTTCAAACCTACCTCTATAACGCCGGAGTTGTAAGACCAAAATCGCATTGAGTGCCAAAGCACCCAATAGGCTTAAAAAGATTAGGATATTCCATAAGCTCAATTTTCTAAATGTGTTAAACTGTCGATGCACTGACTCGGTGCTCTCCCATAGATCAAGTTCCTCTTTAGAGTGAGAATGAATCTTTAGATTATCATTGTCCTTTTCAGCCCGCACACATTTCTCCATTGACGACTCTTTCTTCACGGAAGTGAGTCCTTTCTGGTCAAGAACATGGACACCTGCTTCCCTGAAATATTGAGTTATCTGTTTGTAACTTTCATAGCTGATCTCGTTGTCATAGAGCGCCACCTCCTTCAGTCCTTGTTGCTGATTGTGAAAGATCTCGTAGCGGAAGTGGTCGAGGCGATTACCCTCAATGTGTAGGCTTTGAAGATTGTATACTAAGCTAAAGATATTTGGATCCATCTCACATATTCTGTTGTACGACAGATCCAAGTGGGAGAGACTGGGGGACAGCAAAGGCGAATCGCCGTTTAGATGCTCCAAAAGGTTGCTAGATATGTTGACAAAGCTCAGACTGGGCAGGAGGTACACTTCTAACACTTTGTCAAATGTTGGTAACTCTTTAGCAAGGTTTGCGGAAAGGTCTAGACGTTGAAGCCTCCACATTGCCTTGAGAATGATAGACATGTCCTCCGTTGTCAGTTTGTTCCCATGCAGGTCCAGTTCGGTGACAGAAGATTGTTGCTCAAATTCCAGATATTCCAAAAAATTATTTCTTGCCTGGAACTTGCTGACATTGCCTAAAACATGCATTCTGTAGACCCTGCTGCTGTCGATGATTATGGTCTCCGAGCTGAGAAATTGCATCTCATTGATGGCGTTATGGCTGAGAACCAACAGTATAAGATTCTTAAGAATGGCCAAAGTATATGGATTTATGCTTAACAAACGATTTCCATTGAGGAGCAATACCTGCAACTTGGGGTTCTTATCGAAAATGGCGTCTGGTAGATTAAAAATCCCATTGTTGCTGAGGTCTAGGTGACGTAGTTCAGCAAGAGGGTGGAATACTTTATCTTCAAAATATACTAAGCTGTTGTCGTTTAAGGATAGCATCCACAGCTGGGTTAGTCCTTTTAAGGCGTCTGGGGAGACAATCGCTATTTTGTTTCCTCCCAGCCCGAGGATCACCAGATGGGGCAATTGCACAAACATCTCCTTGCCCAGTCTCAGAAGCGAACTGTTCCGAAAATAAAGAGATCTTAGATTGCCCACCGCCCTGAGCTTGGTTATCTCTAAACGAATCCAGGAGCAATTGAATATCTCCAAGGTACGGAGATTCGGGGTGAGTTCCAGGATTGTCAGATTGTTGCAGTGGTCTAAGTGGAGCTCCCTGATGTCGGGGTCCACACCAAGTAAAGCCAAGTCACTTTCATCTGAGGAATTGGCATCCGTATCTGCACTGGTGCAATTATTATCTTGGCAGGAGGTCGCCAAATCGGTGGTACCCAGAACGAAGGCTATGGGAATCAGCAGTATATATGGAATAAAATCCATTTAAAATTGTTGCTTTAGCGTATCTTTTACTGAACGATGGAGCGACTGATTCAGAGCTTTTTACAATAATTTGTAAGTTAAGGTTTAGCCGATCTTAAGCTTTGTAGCAATTTATCTGAAAGCTTTTTTAATGTATTTCCCTTCTACACCCTCTTAAGAAATATATTCAAGCTTGTCGTGCTCTCAAAAGAATATTCTATTTAATATAATACAATTTATTATACATTTATACATTTCTTCTTTCCATTTAAATAAAATAGTTGTAATAATTCAAACATTTTGAGTGAAAACAAGCTTTCTGACTACGTAAAGATTGAACTCGTCAGCTTTTCAGAGCCAGAACATATAGACAGATATATACTTATCGATAGTTCTACATTAGTTCCACAGCAACGAGCTTTACGCTAGTCGATCATATGGGATATATTGGCGCGCATTCAAATGCCAAATATATAAAAGTTAACTGAAGGAATATTATAAATACTGCTGTGATTATTATTCTAGGAAAGTTATGAGTTTTTACATACTGTTGAATAGAAGTTCCATTACTTTTCATAAGCTGCTTCTTTTCAGAACCCATTTTTGTTGGCTGCAGTAAATACATCAAATGCCTGGAACATCTTCGCTTATCACGGACAAGCCTCCAGCATGTTCCACATAAAAAGAGTCTTAACTTGGCAAATACAAGACGGCGAAAAAAGGGAGAGAGATCCTTTAATTCCCTGCATAATTCCAAATCAGACAAGCGTTAAAAACATTTCATTATAACGCTACACAATCGGAATATTTAATGATTTAATCGGTCGAGCGAATCAGGGAAAAGCGACTGAAACAACAACAGAATCCAGCAGACACCTAAGCAAAGGACGCTGAGTTTGGAGGCTGCCAAGGAGGCGGAGGATGCCGTCTCGATAAACTGCTTCAAATTCACAGATTTTAAATTTAAAATCGTTGCCACACGGCGCAGGGCAGGCGAAGATGTAAAAAGGCAGCCAGCTCGGTCTCTCTCTGTCCTCCACCGAGGTCTCCCCCCGTGCCATGACATGGCATACCATTCCATTCCATTCCCAAGTTGGCCGGAGAACGTTGGCTCGATATAATGGCGCGAGTTTCATGTTTACAAAAAAGATTATGCAGCCCCAAAACAAGAACCACGAGATACAAACGTGCAGAGGTTGCAGGCGACTCGCAGACCTGGAGATGCAACCTGAAAACTGGGAACTGAGAACTGAGAAACTGGAGTTCTAATTAAACAATTCGTAGAATTTCGCGTTAATTGCGAGAAAACGACTTGAACGTGCCCGGCGGATTGGCTGTGGCTCTGGGACCCTGGTTGCCTCTTTGTCCCCCCTAAATACCCCAATTCCCCGGCCCCTTAGTAAATCCTCGAACCAGTTGACACGTTCTGGTAGAGCTCTTTTAATGCATCCACACCTGGAGAAATAGTGTCTTATGTCATCATTTTAATGAGCAATATATGAGGTGGCTTAAAAGAATACTTTATAGAGGATTATTAATAAATAAGATAAGATTTTAAAAGAATATGTATATTACTTTACTAGTTTTTACATTTAAACAATTTTATTTTTCTTTTCTTTTTTAGTGCCCTGAGAAAGCTGTGCACTTTGCCTAGACTCGGTGTCACTATGTGGGCTTCCATTTGAGGAGGATGAGCTCTGTTATTAACACGCCTCCCGGCATTACCCCTTAACCATCTTAGCCCTGCATTCCGCTCACATAAACATGGACAATGCCCTGGACTCTTTACACATGTGAAGGCTGGCCAACATTGGAGAGAAAACTCAATTCAAATTATCGGCAAACAAGATCGACAGATGTTCAGCTGGCACAACAACAGAAATGCCGAGATGGAGCCAAAGCGGGAGGAGGAGGCGAGAGGTCATCGGGGTGCACCGACCGAACGGGGAGATCGATCTTCCTGCAGTCCAAAAACCGAAACCCAAAGCCCGCGGACAGAGCAGAGCAGTCCAAAGCAGTCGCACGTCTCGCTGAGCAAATAACGCCCAAAAATAAAATAACACAAGGCAGAGAACTAAACCCTTTAATCTAAACCACTTTGGGCAGTGCCAGCGCAGATCCCTCCAACCGATCCGATCGACAACGCCACGCATATTTCGCATAACCCAGGCACACCTTTTCGCCCAGGCAGTCCCCGAAGGGCAGAGTATAGCCCCGAAAAATGAGAATATAAAACCGAATTCGTACCACAAAGAACATAGCCACTCCAGAGATCCCCGACCGTACCATCCCGTCGCTACCGTCATCATCATCATCATCATCGACGGCACTCCAACTCCACTCCATTCTCTACCATTCTCCTGGTCGATCATCCTCACTCGTCATCCTGCTCGTCATCGTGTCCACATCCCAGGGTTCGCGCTTATCGGCCCGATTAATCTGCCATCGCTATCGCTGATAAGGCCACCAAATGGACGAAGCGATCCTCTTCAGAAACCCGACCATAAAGCCCAGCCACAACCGCATCATTGTTAGCCCAGTGCGCAGTGGCAGCCAACACTCATGTTTAAATTATGATGGCTTCTAACTTGAATGTGGGCATATGGGTTACCCTCCCTTACTCCTCTCCGTCTCTCTCGGTCCCTGCGATCGTGTCAGAAGTCGGGCTGGCTTACTATGTGCCGCTGACATGGCTGACGACCCATTGACAAGGGCCCCGATTGACGACTCGTTCTTCCAGTCAATGAACAATTGAAGTTCGGCAAATGTTAAAGGGTCAACTCGAAGAAATGTTCCCGATCTAATAGGCAGATTGGAGAAAAAATCCTTTCTGAACTTAAGACTTTACTCCATCCTTTGTCGTCAATTCTTTGGCAAAGGAAAGTCGTGTGGTTTTTCTATCTAATAATTATTACTTCTCACTTATCATTTGGATAATATATTTAAATAGTAACTATGATCACTCTCTCTTTCTCGAAATTAGTTTCCTTTCTTGTTTAAAAATAAAATAAAATAATTAAATGTCTTTCCATTAAACCCCAATCACTTAATTTCAACCACTGCAAATACCTTCATTATCATTATAAGTGCTCTACAATTAAGATCATATTTCCGACGATAATCCCAGGCGTAGCAGACATAAGTTGAGTCAATACCTTCGGGAGCTATGTATCTGAGTTATCTAATCGGGCTCATCTACATGGGTTCATCCTGGCGTATGCGCAATCCGCCTTTGTCACTGGCAGCTGCTGCTGATCGGCCCTGCGATTTCCCCGCCCATCGGGCCAGCGAACAAACAAAAATCTCTGAATGAGATTTGACTGGGCTTCGTTTTTATTTAAACACAATCGCTGATGCATAATTAATTAAAAGGTCTTTTTTCAATATGATTTTTTCTGTGCGTTTTGTTTACGTTTTTTGTTATATTTTTTTTTTTGTAGCTGTCTGTTGACAACACGCCCCAAAAACGGTGGCCGTTTGTTGGTTGGCTGAATCCGTATCCGAATTCGCATCCGAATCAGAATCAAGTTCTGGTTATGGCTGTGGTTGTGGTTGTGCCTGCTGCTCTTATCTTGTAAATTGAATTATGAAATCGTCAACTTGAATCCGAACTGAACAGAGGCTGCTCCTTTCAGCCCATGGAAGGGAAAATCAGTTAAGAGCCATGACGACGACGACTAACATACAACTACAACTGCAGCTGCCCAATGACCATATCCCTGGCGTTCGGTGGTGTCAGTTCAGCTTGCTTCTAGATAAACGTGGTTGGTTGCAAGGATTGCCAACTTATAAACAAGAAAGTCTATTGATATTAAAGATAAAAATTAATGTCTGGACATACTTGTAATTATTTCTATATTTTTATAAAAGTTAAATAATTATTATTTAATAATATATTTTAAATTGATTTATTATTAAAAGTTAGCTTCTTTTTTGCTGCTACTTTCTGCTGTCAGCACTGATGCCAGTGAGTGAGCAAACAAAACGGGCATTTAACATAATCATATCATATCGTCGTGGGCATCACATCGCTACCAAGCTAAAGCCACTCAAGTTAGCCCAGGACAACGGGACGGAATGGGAGTGGGTATGGGCATGGCGACGGCAGGAGGATGAGCCAGAGCCTGAGCCTGGCCATTTGCATATGTCTTTTTGCCCTTGCCACGCCCCTTGGCTTGACTTGTTTGCTTGGCAGCAGCAGCACGAATGAGCAGCGTTTAGGAGCTATCTGCCTTTCATTGCTATATTTGCTGGGCCTGCCTTTGATTTCTTTTGGGGAATGGGTTAGTCTGACTCTTCCCTGTCCATGTTTTGGAGTGAAACCATGTCAAAAATCAACAAACTGGGGAAAAAAAGGTTTTCTTAACTAAGATGCCACACTGTTAAATATTATCTTTATCTCTAAAAGACTACCAGTGGTATTAGATTATATTACAATCTAAACTAAATCGGATTACTTTGTTTTAAATATAAACAAATAAATGTATATAACATTTTTATAAATGTTTTAAAAATAAAAAATATATATTATCCAAAAAACATTAAAGAAAAATTACTATTAAATTATATAAAACATTTTTGTATACCCCTTGAGCGTATTATAATTTTGGGTTTTTTTTTTAATTTTTTCTAGTGCACAAATAGAAAAAGGAAAATCTGAAAACGCTTTCGTTTGTTCTAATCGCAGCCACAGCATCGCTGGTTTGTTGGCCTGTCGGGTTTTGGTAATTGAGAATATAATTACACGAATTACGACGCAGTCGCCGCGTTTATCTGGCGGTTAGCATCTGCCTTTCATCTCGAGGCCTCAGTGGCCTGAGGTTGACAGGGCCAAGTGCGTTCCGATGGGCCCTATTGTTGGTCCCCCCGGGCAGCTGGACTGTGGACTGAACAGAGGAATAGTTATCCAAGCAAACCAAGAATACCCGAGACCGAGTCGAGCATGTGTCCGCTTTCACAGCGCCGGGCTTTCAATCGACAAACGCAACTCATAGCCAAAAGGGGGATGCCCGGCAATTGTC